ATTTTGGGGGAAATTTGGGGAAATTTATTGGGATTTTGGGGAAATCTTGGGGAAATTTATTGAGATTTTGGGGGAATTTTGGGGAAATTTATTGAGATTTTGGGGGAATTTTGGGGAAATTTTGGGGAAATTTCTTGAGATTTTGGGGAAATTTTGGGGAAATTTATTGAGATTTTGGGGAAATTTTGGGGAAATTTATTGAGATTTTGGGGAAATTTTGGGGAAATTTATTGAGATTTTGGGGGAATTTTGGGGAAATTTCTTGAGATTTTGGGGGGAATTTTGGGGGAAATTTATTGGGATTTTGGGGGAGTTTGGGGGGAATTTTGGGGGTTTTTGGATTTTGGGAATTTTTGGTGATTTTTGTTAGGGATTTGGGGGAATTTTGGGGAGATTTGGGGAAGATTTTAAGGGATATTGGGGGGATTTGGGGGATTTTATTTTGGGGGGATTTTAGGGAAATTCTGGTGATTTTGGGAGGATTTTGAGAATTTTGGGGGGATTTTTTGGGATATTCTGGAAATTTGGGGAGTTTTCAGGAATTTTAGGGGGATTTTGGCATTTTTTTGAGGAATTTGGGGGAATTTTAGGGGTAATTTCACAGCAATTTTGGGGAAAATTTTGGGGATTTTGTGGGGAATTTGGGGGGAATTTCTTGGGGATTTTGGGGGAATTTTGGGGGAATTTTGGGGGAATTTGGGGACATCAGAAAATCTCTGATTTTCTGGGGAATTTTGGGGAATTTTTTGTGAAATTTCCCTGGAATTTTTATGAAATTTCATCAGAATTTCTCTGGAATTTCATGAGAATTCCTCAAAATTTCGTTAATCCCAGAAATTTTGGTAAAATTGATGATTTTTTGGTGAATTTTTGGTGACTTTGGATCCGTCACGAACGCCACAAAAAGACGGAATTTGGGGGAATTTTGTGGGAATTCCTCAGAATTTTAATTCCAGGAATTTTGGGCAATTTGAGGGGGGGATTTTGGGGGAATTTTTGAGGAAATTTGGGGCATTTTGGGGGAATTTTGGAGGGAATTTCATGGGTATTTTGTGGGAATTTCGTGGGAATTTGGGGACTTTGGGGACATCAGAAAATCTCGATTTTCAGGAGAATTTTGGGGAAATTTTTGTGAAATTTCCCTGGAATTTCATGGGAATTCCAGGGGAATTTTTATGAAATTTCATGAGAATTCCTCAAAATTTCGTTAATCCCAGGAATTTTGGTAAATTTGATGATTTTTTAGTGAATTTTTGGTGAATTTGTATCCGTCACGAACACCACAAAAAGACGGAATTTGGGGGAATTTTTTGGGAATTTTGTGTGAATTTGGGGACTTTGAGGACATCAGAAAATCTCGATTTTCAGGAGAATTTTGGGGAATTTTTATGAAATATCATCAGAATTCCTCTGGAATTTCATGAGAATTCCTCAAAATTTCGTTAATCCCGGGAATTTTGGTAAAATTGATGATTTTTTGGTGAATTTTTGGTGACTTTGGATCCGTCACGAACGCCACAAAAAGACGGAATTTGGGGGAATTTTGTGGGAATTCCTCAGAATTTTAATTCCAGGAATTTTGGGCAATTTGAGGGGGGGATTTTGGGGGAATTTTTGAGGAAATTTGGGGCATTTTGGGGGAATTTTGGAGGGAATTTCATGGGTATTTTGTGGGAATTTCGTGGGAATTTGGGGACTTTGGGGACATCAGAAAATCTCGATTTTCAGGAGAATTTTGGGGAATTTTTATGAAATTTCTTCAGAATTTCTCTGGAATTTCATGAGAATTCCTCAAAATTTCGTTATTTTGGGGGAATTTTTGGGGGAAATTTTGGGGGCATTTTGGGGGAATTTTTGGGGGAAATTTTGGGGGCATTTTGGGGGGATTTTAGGGAAATTCTGGTGATTTTGGGAGGATTTTGAGAATTTTGGGGGGATTTTTTGGGATATTCTGGAAATTTGGGGAGTTTTCAGGAATTTTAGGGGGATTTTGGCATTTTTTTGAGGAATTTGGGGGAATTTTAGGGGTAATTTCACAGCAATTTTGGGGAAAATTTTGGGGATTTTGTGGGGAATTTGGGGGGAATTTCTTGGGGATTTTGGGGGAATTTTGGGGGAATTTTGGGGGAATTTGGGGACATCAGAAAATCTCTGATTTTCTGGGGAATTTTGGGGAATTTTTTGTGAAATTTCCCTGGAATTTTTATGAAATTTCATCAGAATTTCTCTGGAATTTCATGAGAATTCCTCAAAATTTCGTTAATCCCAGGAATTTTGGTAAATTTGATGATTTTTTAGTGAATTTTTGGTGAATTTGTATCCGTCACGAACACCACAAAAAGACGGAATTTGGGGGAATTTTTTGGGAATTTTGTGTGAATTTGGGGACTTTGAGGACATCAGAAAATCTCGATTTTCAGGAGAATTTTGGGGAATTTTAATGAAATTTCCCTGGAATTCCAGTGGAAATTCATGAGAATTCCTGAAAATTTTGTTAATTCTGGGAATTTTGGTGAATTTGATGATTTTTTTTTTGTGAATTTGGTGAACCGGGAATTTTGGTAAAATTGATGATTTTTTTTTTGGTGAATTTGGTGAATTTTTGGTGGATTTGGGTCCGTCACGAACGCCACAAAAAGACGGAATTTTGGGTGAATTTTTGTGAAATTTCGCCGGAATTTCGCCTCCAGGAATTTTGGGCAATTTGAGGGGGGGATTTTGGGGGAATTTTTGAGGAAATTTGGGGCATTTTGGGGGAATTTTGGAGGGAATTTCATGGGTATTTTGTGGGAATTTCGTGGGAATTTGGGGACTTTGGGAACATCAGGAAATCTCTGATTTTCAGGAGAATTTTGGGGAAATTTTTGTGAAATTTCCCTGGAATTTCATGGGAATTGGGGAATTTTGGAGGGAATTTTTGGGAATTTCATGGGAATTTTGTGGGAATTTGGGGACTTTGGGGACATCAGAAAATCTCGATTTTCAGGAGAATTTTGGGGAATTTTTATGAAATTTCTTCAGAATTTCTCTGGAATTTCATGAGAATTCCTCAAAATTTCGTTAATCCCAGAAATTTTGGTAAAATTGATGATTTTTTGGTGAATTTTTGGTGACTTTGGATCCGTCACGAACGCCACAAAAAGACGGAATTTGGGGGAATTTTGTGGGAATTCCTCAGAATTTTAATTCCAGGAATTTTGGGCAATTTGAGGGGGGGATTTTGGGGGAATTTTTGAGGAAATTTGGGGCATTGTGGGGGAATTTTGGAGGGAATTTTTGGGAATTTCATGGGAATTTTGTGGGAATTTGGGGACTTTGGGGACATCAGAAAATCTCGATTTTCAGGAGAATTTTGGGGAATTTTAATGAAATTTCATCAGAATTCCCTTGGAATTTCATGAGAATTCCTGAAAATTTTGTTAATTCTGGGAATTTTGGTGAATTTGATGATTTTTTTTTTGTGAATTTGGTGAATTTTTGGTGAATTTGGATCCGTCACGAACACCACAAAAAGACGGAATTTTGGGTGAATTTTTGTGAAATTTCGCCGGAATTTCGCCGGAATTTTTGGGAATTTTTGGGAATTTTTGGGAATTGCGTGAATCTGCGGGATTTTGGGTGAAATCCCGGGGATTTCGGGGTTCCCTGCCCCCCAGGAGGATTACTACGTCACCCCCGAGCGCGCGCTGGTGCCGCTGCGCTGGGTGGCCCCGGAGCTGGTGACAAAGGGACCCCGCGGGACGCTGGAGGTGGCACCGCAGAGCCGGGAGAGCAACGTCTGGTCAGGGACACTTGGGGACACTTGGGGACATTGGGGACATTGGGGACACTCAGGGGGGTTGGGGACATTGAGGATTTTGGGGACACTGGGTGACATTTTGGGGAGATTTGGGGACTTTGGGGGAGGATTGTGGGCATTGGGGGACACCTGGGTGACACTGGGGAGGTGACAGTGACCCGTGGGAGGTGACAATGGTGACAATGATGGTGACAATGGTGACAGTGGTGACAATGGTGGCACTGCTGTCCCCTCAGGGCGCTGGGTGTCACCCTGTGGGAGGTGACAATGGTGACAATGGTGACAATGGTGACAGTGGTGACACTGCTGTCCCCTGAGGGCGCTGGGTGTCACCCTGTTGATGGTGACAATGGTGACAATGGTGACAATGGTGACACTGCTGTCCCCTCAGGGCGCTGGGTGTCACCCTGTGGGAGGTGACAATGGTGACAATGGTGACAATGGTGACAATGGTGACAATGTCCCTGTGTCCCCTCAGGGCGCTCGGTGTCACCCTGTGGGAGGTGACAATGGTGACAATGGTGACAATGGTGACAATGTCCCTGTGTCCCCTCAGGGCGCTCGGTGTCACCCTGTGGGAGCTCCTGGAGTGGGGGGCGCAGCCCCTCCCCCACCTGTCGGACCGGCAGCTCCTGGGGAGGCTCCGGAGCCGCCGCCCCCCGGAACTGCCCCGCCCCCGCCTGGCGCTGCCACCCCAGTGGTGAGGGGACATTTGGGGACATCGGGGACACCGGGGGGATCGGGAGGTTCAGGGGGTTTGGGGACATTGGGGACATTGGGGACATTGGGGACAGGGAGGGTCTGGAACTGCCCCGCCCCCCGGAACTGCCCCCCTAAACGTCCCCATTCCCCCAAAATGTCCCCAACACCCCCAACCACCCCAAATGTCCCCAAATGTCCCCTAATGTCCCCAAATGTCCCCAACGTCCCCAGGTTCGACCTCCTGCAGTCCTGCCGCCTCCCCCCGCCCCAGCGCCCCACCCTGGAGCAGCTCCACGGCCGCCTGTGCTCCCTGCTGGCCTGTCCCCAAACGTCCCCAACGCCCCCCGGGGACGGGGAGGTGACACCGCCGCCCGCCGCGTCCCCGACGTCGCCGTTCCCGCTGCTGGACGCGCTGCCGGACGCCGAGGACGTCCTGACGGTCACTCAGGACCCCCGGGGGGGCGGCCTGGCCTTGGAGTGTCTCTGGGAGCGCGGCCGGCGGCACCGCCATGGCGGCGGCGGTGGCACGGCCGATGTCCCCAAGCTGTCCCCCGGGGTGCTGCCGGTGCTGGGGGCGCGGAGCCCCTCGGGGACGTCCGAGTTTTTCGTCCGGTTGGAGGAGCACGAGGTGGTGACGTCGGTGACGTCGGAGGTGACAAAAGACCTCCCGGGTGACGCCGAGGCGACGGCGGCGTCGCCGGGCGGGGGCGGCGGCCCGGGGGTCAGCGGGGCGTGGCCGGAGAGGGGACGGTCAGCGGGGGGTGGGGGAGGGGAGGAGTCGTCCCTCAGGGCCCAGCGGGGGTCGGTGGCCGAGGGAGGGGACGACGTTGGGGACATCGGGGAGGTTTTGTCGCCGGCGTGGGGGCGGGGACGGACGTTGGGTGAGGAGGGGTCAGCGTTGAGCCAAGAGTGGACATTGAGCCAAGAGCGGTCATCGTTGGGTCAAGATCGGTCATCGTTGGGTCAAGACCGGTCAATGCTGACCCAAGACCGGTCATCGTTGGGACAAGAGCGGTCAATATCGACCCAAGATTGGTCATCGTTGGGTCAAGAGCGATCATCAACCCATGACCGGTCAACTTTGGGTCAAGAGCAGTCGATATTGAGCCAAGAACGGTCATTGAGCCAAGACCGGTCATCGTTGGGTCAAGAGCGGTCAATATCGACCCAAGACCGGTCAACTTTAGGTGAAGAGCGGTCAATATTGACCCAAGAACAGTCATTGAGGCAAGACCGGTCATTGTTGGGTCAAGAGCGGTTATCGTTGGGTCAAGAGAGGTCACTGTTGACCCAAGACCAGACATTGACCCAAGGCCGGTCATCGTTGACCCAAGACCAGGCATTGGCCCAAGATCAGTCATCGCTGGGTCAAGACCGGTCATCACTGGGTCAAGAGCGGTCAATATTGACCCAAGACCAGTCATCATTGACCCAAGACCGGTCATCGTTGGGTCACAACTGGACACTGAGCCAGGACTGGTCATCGTTGACCCAAACAAGGTCAACGGAACAAATGACGTCACCATTGTCCCTGGAGATGACCCCGTGGGGACAAGGCTGGACATTGACCCAGGACGGGTCATCGTTGGGTCAAGAGCGGTCAATGTTGACCCAAGACCGGACATTGACCCAAGACTGGTCACTGTTGGGTCAAGACCGGTCATTGTCACCGCTGTCACTGGAGTTGGCACCTTGGGGACAAAACCTGTCATCGTTGGGTCAAGAAAGGTCAATGGCCCAAGCGACGTCACCGTTGTCCCTTGAGATGACCCCGTGGGGACGAGGCCGGACATTGAGCCAGGACCGGTCACTCTTGGGTCAAGACCGGTCACCGTTGGGTCAAGATCGGTCATCGTTGAGTCAAGATGGGTCATTGTCACCTTTGTCACCAGAGGTGGCACCTTGGGGACAAAACCGGACATCGTTGGGTCAAGACCTGACATTGACTCAAGACTGGTCATCGTTGGCCCAAGATCGGTCATCGTTGGGTCAAGAAAGGTCAACGGCCCAAGGGACGTCGCCGTTGTCACTGGAAATGACCCCAAGGGGACAAGGCCGGACATTGATCCAAGACCAGTCATCGTTGGGTCAAGACCAGTCATTGTTGGGTCAAGACCAGACATTGGCCCAAGACCGGTCATCGTTGGCCCAAGATTGGTCATCGTTGACCCACGACCGGTCATCATTGGGTCAAGACCGGACATTGAGCCAAGACCGGTCACCATTGGCCCAAGACCGGTTATCGTTGGGCCAAAGCTGGTTATCATTGACCCAAGACTCAACACTGAGACAAGACCGGTCATCACTGTCCCAAGACAGGTTATCATTGGCCCAAGATCGGTCATCATTGACCCAGGACTCAACATTGAGCCAAGACTGGTCATCATTGTCCCAAGACCAGTCATCATTGGCCCAAGACTCAACATTGACCCAAGACTGGTCACCACTGACCCAAGACCGGACAGTAACCCAAGACCGGTCACTGTTGGCCCAAGACCGGTCACCGTTGGGCCAAGATCGGTCATCATTGACCCAAGACTCAACACTGACCCAAGACCGGTCACCGTTGGGTCAGGACAGGTCGTTGGTGACCCAAGACCGGACATTGACCCAAGACCGGTCACCATTGATCCAAGACTCAACATTGGCCCAAGATTGGTCATCGTTGGGCCAAGACCGGTCACCATTGGGTCAAGACCAGATATTGAACCTTGACCAGTCATTGCTGACCCAAGAGCAGTCATCGCTGGGCCAAGACTCAACACTGACCCAAGACTGGTCACCATTGGGTGAGGACAGGTCATTGTTGACCCAAGACCGGACATTGACCCAAGATTGGTCATCGTTGGCCCAAGACCAGTCACCATTGGGTCAAGATGAGTCATCATCACCTTTGTCTCCGGAGGTGTCGTCATTGGGTCAGGACAGGTCGTTGGTGACCCAAGACCAGACATTGACCCAAGACTCAACACTGACCCAAGCCCGGTCATCGTTGGGCCAAGACTCAACATTAACCCAAGGCCAGTCATTGTTGGGCCAAGTCTCAACATTGACCCAAGACTCAACCCTGACCCAAGACCGGTCATCGTTGGGCCAAGACTCAACATTAACCCAAGGCCAGTCATTGTTGGGCCAAGTCTCAACATTGACCCAAGACCAGACATTGACCCTTGACCAGTCATTGCTGACCCAAGACCGGTCATCATTGGGTCAAGACTCAACATTGGGCCAAGACCGGTCATCGTTGGGCCAAGACCGGTCATCGTTGGGCCAAGACCGGTCATCGTTGGGTCAAGACCGGACATTGACCCTTGACCAGTCATCGCTGGCTCAAGACCGGTCATCGTTGGGTCAAGAAAGGTCATCGTTGGGTCAAGACCGGACATTGACCCTTGACCAGTCATCGCTGACCCAAGACCGGTCGCCGTTGGGCCAAGACCGGTCATCGTCCCCTTTGTCCCCGGAGGTGGCACCTTGGGGACAAGGCCGGTCACCGCTGGCCCAAGGCCGGACGCCGCCCCCGGTGCCCCCCAGGACGTCCCCGTTGTCACCGGCGGTGGCACCGTGGGGACGAGGGACGGCCCCTTTGACCCCGGCCATGTCCCCGAGGCCACCAGAACTGTCCCCGAGGCCACCAGAGATGTCCCCAAGATCACTGGACATGTCCCCAAGGCCACTGGAGATGTCCCCAAGGCCACCAGAAGCTGGGGACCCCCTTGGGGACACCCCCGGGGACCCCCTGGGTGGCACCACAGGGGGGGGGTGTCCCCAAGTGTCCCCAGAGGGGTCCCCAAAGGAGTCCCCGATGTCCCAAATGTCCCCAGAGGGGTCCCCGATGTCCCAAATGTCCCCAGAGGGGTCCCCGATGTCCCCAAAAGTGTCCCTGATGTCCCCAGAGGTGTCCCAAATGTCCCCAGAGGTGTCCCAGGTGTCCCAAATGTCCCCAAAAGTGTCCCCGATGTCCCCAAAGGGGTCCCCGAGGAGGAGCCCCAAGTCCCCAACGAGGTCCCCAAGGAGGGGGAGGGGGTCCCCGAGGAAACGCCGCGAGGTGGCCCTGAAAATGTCCCCAAAAATGTCCCCGAGGCGACAGCGGGACCCGTCCCCAAAAATGTCCCCAAAACGCCCCGAGGTGGCCCCAAAAATGTCCCCAAAAATGTCTCCAAAGTCCTCCAGGGGGTCCCCAAAAAGGTCCCCGAAACACCTGGAGGTGTCCCCAAAAATGTCCCCAAAATGCCACGAAATTTCCCCACGAATGTCCCCAAAAATGTCCCAAAAAAGCCCCGAAATGTCCCTAAAAACATCCCCAAAAATGTCCCCAAAAACGGCTCCAAAAAACCTCGAAATGTCCCCAAAAAACCTCGAAATGTCCCCGAGGGGGTCCCCAGGAACATCCCAAAAAACGTCCCCAAAACGCCTCAAAATGTCCCCAAAAATCCTCGAAACGTCCCCAAAAATGTCCCCAAGGGGCTCCCCAGAAATGTCCCCAAAAACAGCTCCAAAAAACCACGAAATGTCCCCAAAAAACCTCAGAACGTCCCCAAAAATGTCCCCAAAAATGTCCCTGAGGGCGTCCCTGGGACATCCAGAGATGTCCCCAAAGATGTCCCCAAAAAGCCACAAAATGTCCCCAAAAAACATCGAAATGTCCCCAAAAAACCTCGAAATGTCCCCAAAAACCTCCGAAATGTCCCCAAAAACGTCCCCAATGGAGTCCCTGGGACATCCAGAGATGTCCCCAAAAAACCTCGAAATGTCCCCAAAAACCTCCGAAATGTCCCCAAAAATGTCCCCAATGGGGTCCCTGGGACATCCAGAGATGTCCCCAAAAATGTCCCCAAAAAACCTCGAAATGTCCCCAAAAACCTCCGAAATGTCCCCAAAAATGTCCCCAATGGAGTCCCTGGGACATCCAGAGATGTCCCCAAAAATGTCCCCAAAAAACCTCAAAATGTCCCCAAAAACCTCCGAAATGTCCCCAAAAACGTCCCCAATGGGGTCCCTGGGACATCCAGAGATGTCCCCAAAAAACCTCGAAATGTCCCCAAAAACGTCCCCGAAACAGCTCGAGAAGGCCCCAAAAAGCCCCGAAATGTCCCCAAAAACGTCCCCAGAAATGTCCCCGAGGGGGTCCCTGGGACATCCGGAGATGTCCCCAAAAACGTCCCCAAAAACGTCCCCAAAAACGTCCCCAGAGCAGCTCGGGGTGGCCCCAAAAACGTCCCCAAAAAGCCCCGAAACGTCCCCGGATCGGCACAGCGAGGGCGGGGCCGAGCCCCCAGGTGTGACCCGGGTGTCCCCAGGTGTCCCCCAGGTGTCCCCAGGTGTGTCGCAGGTGTCCCCAACCCCCCAGGTGACCTCGGGGCTGTCCCCAGGTGTCCCCCCAGTGTCCCCGGCTGTGTCTCACCTGTCCCCAGGTGTGTCCCTGTCCCCAGGTGTGTCTCACCTGTCCCCAGGTGTGTCCCCGCCCCCCCAGGTGTCCCCAGGTGTGTCTCACCTGTCCCCAGGTGTGTCCCCATCCCCGGGTGTCCCCCCGGTGTCCCCAGGTGTGTCCTTGAAGAAAATGGGAATTTTGGGGGGAATTTGGGGGTTTTTAGGGAAGATTCGGGGGTTTTGTGGAAATTTTATTTTGGGGGGAAGTTGGGGGATTTTGGGGAGAAAATTGGGGATTTGGGGGAATTTGGAGGAGTTTGGGGGAAATGTGGGGAAAAATTGGGGACTTGGGGGGGAATTTCCCCTCATTTCTCCTCATATTTTCCTCATTTTCCTCCTGTTTTCCCTCATTTTCCCCTCATTTTTCCCTCATTTTCCCCTCATCTTTTCCTCATTTCCCCCCCAATTTTCCCTCATTTCCCCCAATTTTTCCCTCATATTTTCCTCATTTCACCCCAATTTCCCCTCATTTTCCCCTATTTCCGCTCATTTCTCCCCAATTTCCCCTCATTTTTTCATCATTCTCCCCCAATTTCCCCTCATTTTCCCTATTTTCCCCAATTTCCCCTCATTTTCCCCAATTTCCCCTCATTTTTCCCCAATTTCCCCCCCAATCTCCCCTCATTTCCCCCCCAAATTCCCCTCATTTTCCCCCATTTTCCGCTCATATTTTCCCCATTTTCCCCCAATTCTCCTCATTTCTCCTCAATTTCCCCTCATTTTTCCCTCATTTTCCCCTCATCTTTTCCTCATTTCCCCCCAATTTCCCCTCATTTTTCCCCTCATTTTTCCCCATTTTCCCCCAATTTTCCCTCATCTTTTCCTCATTTCCCCTCAATTTCCCCTCAATTTTCCCCATTTTCCGCTCATATTTTCCTCATTTTCCCCATAATTTCCCTTCATTTTTCCTCAATTTCCCCTCAATTTTTCCCCATTTTCTCCTCATATTTTCCTCATTTCCCCCTCAATTTCCCCTCATTTTCCTGCCTTTTCCCCTCATTTTTCCCTCATTTTCCCCTCATTTTTCCCCAATTTCCCCTCATCTTTTCCTCATTTCTCCCCCAATTTCCCCTCATTTTTCCCCTCATTTTTCCCCAATTTCCCCTCATTTTTCCCCAATTTCTCCCCCAATTTCTCATTTTCCCCTCAATTTTTCCCCATTATTTTCCTCATTTCCCCCCAATTTTTCCTCAATTTTCCCCATTTCCCCTCAATTTTCCCCATTTCCCGCTCATATTTTCCTCATTTTCCCCCAATTTCCCCTCATTTTTCCTCATTTTCCCCTCAATTTTTCCCCATTATTTTCCTCATTTCCCCCCAATTTTTCCTCAATTTTCCCCATTTCCCCTCAATTTTCCCCATTTCCCGCTCATATTTTCCTCATTTTCCCCCAATTTCCCCTCATTTTTCCTCATTTTCCCCTCAATTTTTCCCCATTATTTTCCTCATTTCCCCCCAATTTTTCCTCAATTTTCCCCATTTCCCCTCAATTTTCCCCATTTTCCGCTCATATTTTCCTCATTTTCCCCCCAATTTCTCCTCATTTCTCCCCAATTTCCCCTCATTTTTTCCTCATTTTTCTCTCATTTTTCCCCAATTTCCCCTCATCTTTTCCTCATTTCTCCCCCAATTTCCCCTCATTTTTCCCCTCATTTTTCCCCAATTTCCCCTCATTTTTCCCCATTTTCCCCCATTTTCCCACTTTCCCGCCCTTTTTCCCCTCAGCCAAGGCCTCCCGCCTCTCGCTGCCGCTGCCGCCTCTGGCCCTGCGGCCTCTCCCGCTGCGCTGGGGCGCGGCCGATGCGGCCCGGGGAGCCCCGGACGACCCCGACGAGGACGCGGAGGACGCGGAGGAGGCTCCGGAGCCCGAGGGGGCCTCCCCGGGGCCCGTCCCGCTCGTGGTTTCCACCTGGACCGGCCGCGGCCTCCGCGGCCTCCTGAAACCTCCGCGGCGCCCGCCGGAAGTGGGACTGAGCTCCAACCGGAAGCGCAAAGCGGTGTCGTTCTTCGATGACGTCACCGTGCACCTCTTCGATCAGGTGATTGCCCTCCCCCCCGGGGTTTGATTGACGCGGCGGTTGTCCAATCGCGGAGGGGGTGACCGACGCCATTTTGTTACAGGAGACGCCGACCAACGAGTTGAGCGGCCAGAGCGCCCCCGAGGGGCCCGCGGGGGTGGCGCCCCCTGATGGCCTGGGTGGGTTCGGGGATTTTGGGGGAAAATTTGGGAATTTGGGGGAAAAAAATGGGGAATTTTGAGGGGCAAATGGGAGGTTTGGAGGGAAAATGTGGGAATTTTGGAGGAAAAAAATGGGGACTTTTAGGGGGTAGTTGGGAATTCGGGTAAATTCGGGAGGTTTGGGGAAAAAATTGGGAATTTTGGGAAAAATTTTGGGGAAAAATTGAGGAGGGTTTGGAGATTTGGGAGAGGAATTTTGGGTGTTTTGAGGAGGAATTTGATGCTTTTTGGGGAAGAATTTTGGGGATTTTGGGAAGAATTTGGGGGAGGATTTTGGGAACTTTGGGATTTTGGGGGGAAATTTGAGGGGAAATTTGAGGAGAATTTTGGGGAGGATTTTGGGGTCCCAGAAGGGAAATATGGGGATTTTTGGGTGAAATTTGAGGCAAAATTTGGGAATTTTGGGATTTTGAGGAGAACTTTGGGGATTTTTGGGAGAATTTGAGGTGAAATTTGGGGATTTTGGGGAGAAACTTGGGAACGCCATTTTGTTGCAGGAGACGCCGACCAACGAGTTGAGCGGCCAGAGCGCCCCCGAGGGGCCCGCGGGGGTGGCGCCCCCTGATGGCCTGGGTGGGTTCGGGGATTTTGGGGGAAAATTTGGGAATTTTGGGGAAAAAAATGGGGAATTTTAGGGGGTAGTTGGGAATTCGGGTAAATTCGGGAGGTTTGGGGAAAAAATTGGGAATTTTGGGAAACATTTTGGGGAAAAATTGAGGAGGGTTTGGAGATTTGGGAGAGAAATTTTGGGGAATTTTGGGTGTTTTGAGGAGGAATTTGATGCTTTTTGGGGAAGAATTTTGGGGATTTTGGGAAGAATTTGGGGGAGGATTTTGGGAACTTTGGGATTTTGGGGGGAAATTTGAGGGGAAATTTGAGGAGAATTTTGGGGAGGATTTTGGGGTCCCAAAAGGGAAATATGGGGATTTTTGGGTGAAATTTGAGGCAAAATTTGGGAATTTTGGGATTTTGAGGAGAACTTTGGGGATTTTTGGGAGAATTTGAGGTGAAATTTGGGGATTTTGGGGAGAAACTTGGGAATTTTGGGGGATTTTTGGGAGAAATTGGGGGAGAAATTTGGGAAGTTTGGGAGAAATTTGGGTTAAATTTGAGGCATTTTAGGAGAAATTTGGGAATTTGGAGGAAAAATTTGTGGAGAATTTTGGGGATTTTGAGATTTTGGGGTCCCGAGAAGGAAATTTTGGGATTTTTTGGGTTAAATTTGAGGCCAAATCTGTGAATTTTGGGATTTTCCTCCCGCAGCCGCCGTGGAGAACTGAGCCCCGGGCGTGGGGGAGGGGCGGGGTCCAAGCCCCTCCCCCTTCGAGGCCACGCCCCCTCAAGAAACCCCCTCCCCCTCTCGAGGCCCCGCCCCCTCCGGAATTGGGGGTGGGGGAGGGGCAATAAAAATTCCAGGGATCCTGGATTTTACTGGGAAGGGGCGGAGTCAGAGTGGTTTGTACTGGTTTGGACTGGGAGGGGCTGGGGGGGACTGGGAGGGACTGGGACGGACTGGTTTATACTGGTTTATACTGGTTTGGACTGGGACGGACTGGAGGGAACTGGTTTGGACTGGAGGGAACTGGTTTGGACTGGTCTGGACTGGTTTGGACTGGTCTGGACTGGGGGGGCCTGGTCGGGACTGGGTT